AATAAACATCTTTCAGCTCCACTTAAAGATCGTTAAAGTCTACACGAGAGTGGTTAACGGGTCGGTAGGTGATGTGTTACACGATAAGGTATCTGGGCTGATGGCAACCTATGTGATGTTTCAAGTAAGAGGACAGGATTAAGATACTGTAGCGTCACAGGTCAAAACTAGGAGACACAACACAAGCGGGATGCACTGATACACACGTCACACAACGAGCCCCTTTAACTGGAAGTCTTTGCATCAGGATTCTCTTAAAGGATCTTTTATCTTATTATCAACAAATCCCCCCAAAAAGACCCAAGAACAAGTATTATCAGTGTATCAAAGAGCTTCATTTTAGTCCAAAAACTATTAAAAACACAGAGAGCCACACTGTTCCCTGATTCAGCACAACTGTACCCACAAAATAACCCTAACCCTAATTCTTTTCACATATGTGATACATTTTTAGCTGCTTTCTCAGTGCTGGCTTCTCAGTGAGTCCCTCCTGGATTTCACAGGCTTTATTTTTGGCTGATTTCACAGCAACTTTTCTAAAATAATGCAAGCGTGTTGTGGATGTTTTCAGGCTTTTTTCCCCCAATGAAAAACTGCTGGAAAAACTGGGTTGAAAATAAAACTCCACTGTTTGGAGGGTAAATGTGAAGCGTTGGCGTCTAGAAAAAAGGAAACGAGTGTGTTTGAGTTCGGTGACATACGGCTCAAAGTTTTGTGAAGTTTCCTCAGTGAAGATCATGTTTGTCACTAAATCGTATAAATGCAACTTATCGAAAGACTCTTCATCTTCAATGCTGAATTTGTGTTACTGTATTAGGATTAAAAAAATGGTTTGCTATGAATTTAGTGATTAATTTTAAACATTTAAAATGAAGCATTTAAGTGTTTTTATTAATAAATCAGACACTGATGGTGCAGCGCTGTATTAAACCTCTTTATAGCTTAAAATATTATAAAGACGTAAATATTTATTCCAGTGTCTTTGAACTCTTCACCACTGCATTATTGTCTACTG